AGTTTGCTTGTAAACTGGGTACAATAGGCAATAGGCAAAACCCATGCCTATTGAGCAGTCATTCTCCCTTCCTCCCACTCCCCAGCCCTTGCAACCACTTAGTCTACTTTGTGTCTTTGTGCCACTGGGTAGTGGAGGAAGTGACTGAAAGCCAGCAGAGAGCTGAACAAGTGGCATTGGTCCATTTCAGATCCCTCCCCCACATACAGCACCACAACCACAGCAAGGTGGATTGCCCCAACCTGGCAAATATCTAAGACTCCTCCCCTTACTATGTAACAGGTGTGCCAAGACAAAAAATGGCCAAATGAAAGAACAGACCAAAGTTCCAGAAAAAAATACAATTAAGCAATGAAGAGATAGCCAACCTATCAGAAGCTCAGTTCAAAACACTGGTAATCAGGATCTCACAGAATTGGTTGAGTATGGTCACAAAATAGAGGAAAAAGTGAGAGCTATCAAAAGTGAAATAAAGGAAAATGTACAGGGAGCCAACAGTGATGGGAAGGACACCAGGACTCAAATCAATGCTTTGGACCAGAAGGAAGAAATAAACAGTTAAGCAGAACAAAATGAAGAAACAAGAATTCAGAAAAATGTGGAGAAGCCTAGGAACCTCTGGGACAATTTTAAACATTCCAACATCCAAATAGGGGTGCCAGAAGGAGAAGAGAAAGAGCAAGAAATTGAAAACTTATTTGAAAAAAATAATGAAAGAGAACTTCTCTAATCTGGCAAAGAAAATAGACTTTCAAGAAGTCCAGGAAGCTCAGAGAGTCCCAAAGAAGTTGGATCCAAGGAGGCACACACCAAGGCACATCATAATTACATTACCCAAGATTAAAGATAAGGAGAGAATCTTAAAAGCAGGAAGTGAAAAGTAGAGAGTTGTCTACAAAGGAGTTCCCATAAGACTAGCAGCTGATTTTTCAAAAGAAACCTTGCAGGCAAGAAGGGGCTAGAAAGTATTCCAAGTCATGAAAGGCAAGGACCTACATCCAAGATTACTGTATCCAGCAAAGCTATCATTTAGAATGGAAGGGCAAATAAAATACTTCTCAGACAAGGTAAAGCTAAATAAATTCATCATCATCAATCCTTTATTATATGAAATGATAATGGGACTTATCCAAGAAAAAGATCGAACCTATGAACAGGAAAATGCTAGCAAACTTACAACTATCAACAACCTAAAAATAACAAGACAAACTAAGCAAACTGACTAAAATAGGGACAGAATCACAGAAATGGAGACCACATGCATTGATATCAGTGGGGAGGGGGAATGAGGCCGATTCACAAGAAGGTACAAAAAAAATAATGCTTGTAAAATAAACCAACCAGCAACTATTTATAGACCATTTATCTGGTGCCCAAGTCCTGTAGTAAACTACGTTGTAAGAAGTAGAAATGAATATGACTCAGTTCTTTCCAATAGGGAACTCAGAATTTAAGTAACAAAATACAAATAATATATGCATAAAGTTGAATAAATAACTCAAAAGGTACCATAAGCCAGGGGAAAGAGAACAGGTCTAGGAATCTAGATATCTGGATTTGAGTCCCTATTCTAACACCACTTACTGTGGGATCACTTACTATAAGACTGTGACAATAGTTTGGCTGTCTCTGCTTCTTCTCCTGAAAATGAGGACATTTGACAGTGGGTACATGAATAAATAGTATGAGGTGGGGTGGGAGAGGAGGTTTATCAGTTTTCTCCCTTCATTAGTTCTTATTTCTTCATTCTATAATACTGACAAACAGCATTTTCTTGATTGTGCAAATGTCAGGTATCTTGGGGAACCCTTCCAGTCTCTGACTCTTTCCACCTGGGTTGTCACTCTTAAACTCTTGTTATATAGGAGCGATTTCTAAGTGTCCTTCCTAATTTGGAGTCTAGGCCAGGTATGCAAGTATAATAGGTATGGCCTGGCCAATTGGTGCTGCAGGACCACAAAAAGAAGAGACATTATTAAGTATGATAAGAATAGAGTTGTTCTTATCATTATTCTTTACATTATTACGTATGATAAGAACATTCACAAATCAGGTGGGATGTCAGGTTAAGGAAGCTGGAATTGTATTAAGCTGAGGAGTGGAAGGTGTATCCTGGGAAGAGGAGTCAGGAGGCAAATAAATGGAAATGCATGGGAAAGAGTGAAAAACCTAATGAGGCGGGGGGGGGATAAATGAAAGTAGGTGGAGTCACATAAAGGAATGGCATCCATTGGCAGTGGATGTCACAGAAGATATATTGAGGTAAGGAACTAAGAAGTGATACTAAATATGATTTGAGGTCCATATGCAACTAGCATATAAACTAGTGGTAACCAATAACAAAAGTTAAATTTCCTCTCTCATTCTGGTCCTAGGGTGATGTGTTCTTTTATGGCCTTCTCCTCCTTCCCAGAGTTGCTTCTATTAACCCAGTTTCAAAAATGGTAAAGGCAGTAAATTTCACTGACTTCCAGTTGGGACAAACCCACAGATATATTGTGAGAATCTAAATGAAAAGCCACCACTGGCCAAGAAAGATGACCCAGAGAAGACACAGCAACTACAGAATGCCAAGCTGGAGAGGTAGCAAGAGCAGGAGAAGGTTTCAAGCACTATAAAAAATTTGGATGAGACTCAACAGATCTGATTTTATCAATACCTTATTTAATCCATTGGAAATAAAAGAAAGAATTAGGACTATTGATGAGAGAGGGAAGGAGTAACTGATCTTGTGAGATGTTATCATTATTTTGTACCCACTCCTTCATACCTCCAATTTCCTACTGAGAAAAGAAGATATACAGAATCGTTAATAGCAACAAGCACACATCAAAACAAAAGGGAATCAAACTTCCAAAAACCTTTTTAATTTTTTAATATTTAATAAACATATTAAACATATTTGTAGACATATTTTAAAGAACTACAAAGTCAGAGTGTACTGTAATATGGTTACTTAGTTAACTGAGAGCCAGCCAGACTTTGGTCTCATTTGTATTCAACAAATTCAACTACTTTCCAAGGTACAATGACTCCAGTGGCATATATGCATCAGATATGTTTTTCAAATCATCATGTTATATCATTTAAATACACATAATCCAATTTGTTAGTTATTTCTCAATAAAATTGGGAGAAATAATCTCTTCTCAGGCCCTGAGCTTCTGGTATTTATGGCAATTAAAGAAAGACAGAATAAGAGCATAAAACTTGTGGCATTTACTGATGTCAACTTTATAGGAATTATTCTTTTGGAGATCTAACTAATCACTACATATTTTCTTTTAAATCATGCAACAAGCATTTATTGAGCATCCACTACTTGCATGATGCTGATAAAATTAGATTAACTACAGTTTATATTAAAAAAGAAATCTCCTACACAGAGAGAAATATGCAAGCCTTAATTAAACTAACAACAGAAAATAACTACCAAGGTCTTAACATCCATATAAGAAATTGGGTTTAATTTCAATATTGTAGAGCACAACATATTATACTGCCCTTGATTGACACCCTTAAGGTCTTTACTGTATACAATTTTAAGCTGAATATTAAATAAATTGTAAGGCTAGATAGACAAGAAAAGCAAAGGCATACATGACAGAGAAACAGTGTGAGCAAAGGCAGAAGTGTGTATGTTTAACATTTTTTAAGACACCGAGTTTTCGTATATTTGTATTTATGCAGATTTGATTATCTAATATGCTTAACCAAATCAATGATTGTAGATATGCAATAAATGAACTTATTTGAACCTTTAAATGCCTCACAACAGATGTATCTATGTCCAAACAATGCTGCTAGGCAACCCCTTCCTGTCTTTAGTCCTCCTCTTTACAGCTGTAGGTTTCTCTAGGTATATTTCAAGTCCATTTCTTCCCAAGGTTCTGGAGACCATGCTTTTCATCTACTGAATTTATTCATAGGAGATGCTTACTTTACCCTATTCTATCTTCATTGTTTCCCTAAGACTATTGTCAATCTCTAGTATTTGATTTCTTCAGAGATACTTACCTGTAATCCTAACTCACTTCTCTGAAAGGTTGAATCTAACTAACCCATGCTGAGGTGCCAGGTAAATGGCTCCTTCTGTTAACTTCAGGGGCCTCAGCCAGTATTGGCTTAACCCTGGGAACTGGTTCAAACATTCACATTTTTTATGCTAACACGTTGTTTAAAACCTTTAATAATACCTACTGTGCTGCTGAGGCTTGAGAGGGACACTTTATCTCCCTTACCTGATTCTTTTCTGAACATTACTTTTTCCCTGTGTCCTTATGTTTAAATAGTCATTATAGTTTAAAAATAATTGTCATTGGATCTTTCTACAAGAGTCTTATGAAGCTGAAAAGGCATAGATTATTATCACCAATACTGCAGATCAGGAAACAGCTTCAGAATGATAAAAGGTCTTGCTTAAAGTTATAAACTTAAGAAAGGGCAGATAGCACTAGAACCCACATCTATCTAATTATTATCAATCAGTTACAGTTGCATACTCAAGGTTGCCATTGTTAGGACTCCTGCACTTCCATATTTGGGGGAATAGGAAGTGGAGAGATGCATCTGACAATTGCCTGGATCCAGAAATACTGGATCAATATGAGTGCATGTAGCACCTCAACCCCTCCTCTAGAAGGAGGAGCAAATTGGTGCTGTCCAGAGAATTTTGGTACCATGAAGAGAGTTAGTAAACCAGTCTCTTTTTATGCTTCTCCAAATATTTTGGATAATTTTTATTACTCATGATAACAATAGACCAATTTCAAAAAAATTAATGTATCTCAAATAAAACTAAAAATACATAGGGAATTTCTACCAAGAGGTCTTAATCAGAGAGGGCAGATAGTTTATTAAGACAATTGTAGAAAATATAAACTCTCCACAAGAGAAAAAAGTAAGGGCTTTGGAAGTTTTTCTATATAATATAGATTATATATATTTATATGTATATATATTACATTATATATATGTGTGTGTATCTAGATAGATAGATAGATAGATAGATAGATAGATAGATAGATAGATAGATAGATAGATAGATAGATAGATGATAGATAGATTTAAACCTGGTGATATTTATATTCCAAGAAACTTTTGATGTCATAAACATCTAGTCACATCTCAACAAACTGGAACTCAAATATTTGGCAACATCAGCTATCCAAACACAGCTGACAGAACCAGGAAGGAAGTAAAATAGTTCTGCATAGCCAAAATGGATGTCATAAAGTCCATCAAGTAAAACCCATACACTTTGTTCCATAGGAGATGTTCTTTTTCCATGCACATCCTTTGTAAATAAAATAAAATAAGCAGAATTTTACTCATTTTTGTTAAATTTAAACTCTGTTATAACTAGTATGATTAGTGTACTTTCAAAGCTATAAACTATTAGAAAGTGTTAATTAAAATTATAAGGACTTTATTAGAGAGTCCTACTGACAATGGCAAAAAGTATGAATAGATAGCCTGAAATTGGTGGGAAAATAAGCCCTTAAAAATTGAATATATAAGAACTAAAAATTTATAGGGCCAATTTAGTATAGGTACAAGCAATTCTACAAATTTCAATAGCTTGGAGAGAAGCAAATGTGTATGATACAATAATTGATGTTTATAATGATCCTCAGTCATGCTAAAAAGATTACATTAAATATTACAGTTGAAGTTCTTCTTAAATAATAACAACAATGTTAATACTAATAATAACAAAAATAATTATTTATAAAGTTCTTTGAAGTTTAGAAAGCACATTCTAAAAAGTTTGTCTCATATTACAGACATCTAGTCCAGCTCCCTCATGAACAAGTACTAAAAATGAAAACCAAAAAGTACTAACTTGCTCAAAGTCACATAACTTATCAGTGAAAGACCCGAAATTAAGATTCTGCTCCTGTGAATCTGGATGAATAGTTCTTTCATACACCATGTCCTCTTGTTTAAAGCAAACTGTTTAAGTGGGTAGGAAATAGTATATTTTAGAAACACTTCCAGATGAAATGGTGTTTTCAATATTTAGGTACTTGAAGAGACAATCATTTCTATAGGACACAACTGTCTAAAATATAGATCCCTAAATAACTTCAGAGAACTTGAATTTTTCTGTTTTCTTTAGTCCCCCTGTGGTAAACATTGCCTGTTGTTGTTTTGATAGGCAATCATTATTACAAAAAAATTCACACAAATAAAATGTTTTGTGATTTCCAACCATATAAAGAAAATATTCTCAGAAATGCATCATTAGGCAGTTTTCTCATTGTGAGAACACCATAGAGAGCACTGACACAAACCTAGATGGTAGAACCTACCACCCAACTAGACTATATGGTATAGCCTTTCACTCCTAGATTACAAGCCTATGTAGCATATTACAACACAACAAAGAACAACACATGATTAAATCAAGTACAAGAGAAAATAATGCAATCAAGAGACATGGCAAACATGAGATCTATCTGCTTGCTGCCAGCTAAAACAGCATACGGTTTTATAGTAAACATTTTTTCATAAGTAGAAAGAGTAGACTGTAAAACAATAATAAAAATAGTATAGAGAATACATAAATCAGTAATATAGTCATTTATCATCATTATCAAACATTTTGAACTGTATATAATTATATGTGTTATACTTTTATATGACTAGAAGCACATAGGTTTGTTTACACCAGCATTACCACAAACATATGAGTAATGCATTGCACTATGACATAATAATGGCTACAACATTACTGGGCAATAAGAATTTTTCAACCCCATTATAATTTTATGGGAACACCATTATATCTGGTCCATCATTGACTGAAAGGAAACATTGTTAGTCAGTGCATGACTGTAATTTTACAAAACTAACCACTGCCTTTTAAAATACTATTTTAATAAAAACTGTTACGTGAAATTTTGTTTACAATTTCCAATGGGAGTGATTTGTGTTACAAAATTATTTAACCAAAGTAATTTTAACATAATGTTTTATTTTTCATTCATAGTAGGACTTAATTCACCAATGTTCTCCTTATATATATCTTTACCTGTGAGAAATGAGGTCCATCTGGAAAACTATATGCATGTGTGTAACTCTTCATTGTTTAAATCTATCAAGCAAGATTTTGGCTGAGGTTGTATGGAGGTAAATTAATCTAGGTAGACCATGTCACAATTGATTTAAATGAACAAATAAACAAAATATTTTCTGAATGAGTACCAATGTGTGAAATCATGCATGACAACACACATACTCAGAGACACCCTACCAAAGAGCTTTCATTGAAAAACCTGACAGTAAACTTTATGGAATAAGTTAGAACACAATTTTATTTTGTGTTTAAGGTGTATGTGTTGTGTGTGAATCTGTTGATATTTTTTAGATATTTGGGATCAATCTGAATTATTTGTTTCTCCAAGGGGAGAAAGTAAAAGTGTCATAGATATTTTAAATTACAAGAATAAGAGTTCTCATACGTCCTATTAATTTAATAAACCTTTCCTCTTTTGTCTACATTGTTCAAGTAATGTGTTATTTTTGAAATAAAGCTAGGATCATATCACTCTCATGCACATTTTAAAACATTTCAAAAATTCACCTGTATCTACTGGTTTTCAATTTTTATAAAAGAAGGTGAAAAGACTGGACCCATTACAGAGGAACAGATGTATTATTCATTCCACTGCTCCTACGTTTTCTGTATTTTCCTATGTTCTCCATAGAACAATATGTTTGCATTGGGACATAAAATAGAGGCATGGATAGCTCTTTCAAAAGACTAATTTTGAAAATGAAAGAAAAGGAGGTATGTTTTGCTAAAGCAGTCAACAGCACCATTTTTTAAGAATCATGTTGCCCTGGCTGGTGTAGCTCAGTGGATTGAGCACGGGCCTGCGAACCAGACAATCGCGGTTCGATTCCCAGTCAGGGCACATGCCTGGGTTGCAGACCAGTTCCCTGCAGGCCAATTCCCAGCAGGGGATGCATGAAAGGCAACCATACATTGATGTTTCTCTCCCTCTCTCCTTCCCTTCCCCTCTAAAGATAAATAAATAAAATCTTAAAAAAAAAGAATCATGTTGAAGGTGACATAGCTATATTGATAGAGCATATAGATCATTCCCACTAATTATTTGATTATGTTGTCTTGGAATCATCCAAAAATTCAAGAGAGATAGTTTGAAGATCCTCATTTCTGTGATGGATTTCTAAAACACTGTCCTTGCATCTCACACATGACTGAAAAACCAGACCACCATGTTCTGAAAATCTATCACGAAATTCTGAGGTCATAAAATAATATACAACTGGATCAAGACAACAATTCAGATTTGCAAGACACAGGGAAATTATGTGGAAACATAGAGTACTCTTGATAAAGGAGCAGTTTGAAAACACATCTTGCTTCACCATCATAAAAAGTGGGAAGTTGAGGTGGTAAGGTGTAAAACACACAATGAATACCACTGCACACATCAGAACCATCCACAAAGCCTTTTTTCTCTCTTTGGTATTCTGAGGAGGAACTTGGATTTCCTGTAAAGATTTTCTCATTTTCCATGTGCAATAAGTAATAATTATAACAGGTAACACAAACCCTCCAAGTTCAGCTATAGTTACCATGGCAATGGAGGAAGCCATGCTAATGGGTTGAAGCCTTAAATCTGCAAAGCAGAACTCAGTGTTGTTGGCTAAGCCAGTACTTCTTAGAATTGGAAGTGGCAAACAGGCAGTGCCTACAATGACCCAGATAGCAGCACTGATGCCCACATCATACCTACGCTTCCAGTCTTTGGCCCTGAAGGGCTTGAGAAGAAAGAAGCACCTCTGAAGGCTGATGCAGGTCAGGAAACAAATGCTGGCATACATGTTGAGATACTTCAGGTAGAAGCACAGCAGGCAAAGGGGTGTCTGGAAAGGCCAATGGCGATTGATGTAGTAGTAAATCCGGAGGGGTAAAGACAGCACATGAGCAAGGTCAGCCACAGAGAGGTTGATCATGAAAATGATGGCTTTATTTTTCTTGCTGATGAAGCGCCACAGAACCCACAAGGCTATGGTATTGGCCAGAAGACCAGGGATGAAAATGGTAATGTAGGTGGTTGCATACAGGGTGTACTGAAATGGCATTTGGAGATCAGTGCACTTTGCTCTTGTAGTGTTTGTGCTGTTACTTCTCATCTTGAGGATTTATGTTCCTTTATTAAGGAAAGCGCTATCAGAGTGATGATATCTGCACAAAACAGAGTAAAGATAGCATCAAGGGCATGTCAATCCATAGTTGGATATACAAGTATATTTGCTCCCCACTAAAGACGTATGCAAGTACGAACCTTCATAAATTCAGATGGCCTTTTCTATGTAAACTAAAAATATCATGGCAATCTACAAATGGATAACAATAGTTTGAAAAATATTTTCAAAAATCAAAAAAATCCACTGTTTAGGCAATAACCTCAGTCAGGATTTTTCTTTTGCAGTCAAGAGAATACACTTGTAGAGATAATCAACAAACAAGACTTCAGTAAAACATAGCCCCCTCAAAAAAATGTGCTACATTTACACAATGGAATACTGTGCAGCGGAGAGAAAGAAGGATCTCCTACCATTCACAACAGCATGGATGGACTTGGAGAGTATTATGCTAAGTGAAATAAACCAGGCAGTGAGAGACAAATACCATATGATCTCACCTTTAACAAACAAGCAAGCAAAGTATAGCCAAAGACATTGAAATTGAGAACAGACTGACAGTGATCAGAAGGGAGGGGGAGGGGGATAATGGGGTATAGAAAGGGAAGGGTCATCAAGGAACATGTATAAAGGACCCATAGGCAAAACCAAAAGGAGTTGGAGGTGAGGGTCAGTGGGGTGGGGTAGAGTAGTGGGAGGGAAATGGAAACAACTGTACTTGAACAACAATAAAAAAAAGAGAGAGAATAAACAAACAAAAAAACATAGCCCCCAAACATACATTCTAACATTCTTGTGCAATTCCACATTTTAAGCTTCTCTGTTGTCTCCATCTTTATTGTAAATTTGAAATCTAGCTGATTTCCCTATCATCAACTCTGGGCAAGAGAAAATGTAATCAAATTTTCACTTCAATCTTATCAGGGATTAGGGGATTCCTAGGGGTAAGTATATAAACATTTGGAAATGAAACAGGATAAGAGCCTGGGTAATGGCTGGGAGGTCACCAGGTTTGGGATAGTGGCTTGGAAAAGATGGTGAAACTCAGACTACCTTTGCCTCTTTCAGAATTTAGCTGAGAACAAAATTAGTTCTGCTCATAAATCATGGCAGATTCTAGAGGCGTCTGTAACTTTAATGATTTGTGTTTATTTACAGAATTATAGTAGCTTCATACATTCACATGTATTGAGACTATCCTTGCAACCATTTGAAAGAAAACTACCAGAGTATGGGAAGTACTACAAGGTATCTTCTGGTAGATGCAACAAAAGGAGCTATTTCTACTTCACCTTTCAGAAAAAGTTCAGTGAAAATTTATTAATGTAGATGATTACATTTTTAAAATATTTTAAAGTATACTTGGCACACATTATTATACTAATTTCAAGTGTACAACATAGTGATTAGACATTTATGCACCTTGATAAATCTACTCCTCACACCATAGATAATTATTACAATATTATTGACTATATTCCCTATGTTGTAATTTACAGCCCATGACTATTTTGTAACTACCAATTTGTATTTCTTAATCTTTTTATTTTTTCACCCAGCAACTCCCTATCCTCCTGCCATCTGGCAATCATCAATCTATTCTCTGTATCTATGAGTCTGTTTATATTTTGTGCATTAGATTTCACATAGTGAAATCATATGGTATTTGTCTTTCTCTGTTTGACTTACTTCACTTAGCATAATACCATTTAGATCCATCCCTATTGTTGCAAATAGAAAGATTTCATTCTTTTTATGGCTGAGTATTTTCCATTGTGTATATGTGTGTCTGTGTGTATATATATATATATATATATATATATATATATATATATATATATATAAAATATATATATATATTATTTTCTTTAACTATTCATCAAGCAATGGACACCAAGGCTGTTTCATATCTTGGCTATTGTCAATAATGCTAAGATGAACATCGAGGTGCATATAACTTTTTGAGTTATTGTTTTCATTTCTTTGAATAAATACGTAGAAATAGATTTGTTATTTTTTAACACTTCAATATTTTTAAGAACCTTCATACTTTTTTCTATTAATGGCTGGCCCAACTCACAATCTAACCAACAGTGCACAAAGGTTCCCTTTTCTCCACATTTTTAAGAACCTCCATACTTTTTCTAAAAGTGGCTGCCCCAACTTAAAATGCACAAGGGTTCCCTTTTCTCCACATACTCACCAATGTTTGTTTTTTGTTGACTTCTTGATAAATAGCCATTCTGACAGGTGTGAGGTGATATCTCATTGTAGCTTTGATTTACATTTTTGTTACGATTAGTGATACTGAGCATCTTTTCATGTCTGTTGACCATCTGCATGTCTTCTTTGTAGAAATGTCTATTTTTAATAGTTGTAGTTGTTATAAAGTTATTTCCTCTAATGAATCAAAATCTGTCATTTCAACCTAATTCTGCCTATCTGCAAATATCTAAAGACAGCAGTCCTTTCCTCTCTCAAATCTTGTTTTTATTCAGGTAAGACATTCATTTCTCAAATGGTATGGTCCTTGCTCTTGTTTTTGTTTTTTTGGATCAGAACATATTGCTTTTGGCAAAAATCCACTATACTCCTCTTTCTTTTAACCTTGAAAATGGCAGTTTAACTACCCAAAAGTTTGATATTTTTAGGAAATATAACTTAAGTGTCTAGTTGTAGAAAAAATAAAGAATAAATGAGCTTTTAATGGTTTCTTGTACTTTTTATTGCTTGCAAAGACAGTTCGTTTGCTTCATATTTTATGTAATTAAAGAGAAAATGAGACAGACTCAACCTTAACAACTGAAAGCAACATAGGGTCTAAGAAAGTGCCTCCTTAACCCTAAGCACAAGCAATTTAAAAAGTTTTGAGATTAAGTTAACCCACACACTCCTCACATAATGCCAAACAGACTTTGATCCTTTTGCACTGACTAGATGGGATTTTCAAATAGACTATATTTATTAACTGACATCTCATTGCAGTGAAGCAATCAGCTCATTTAATTAAACAGCTTTTAATTTATTTTAACTGAGTTGACCATTTTGCTGAATTGACCAGTTTGTCTAGCAAATTGTAAATATCTCTTTTGTGGTTTGTTTATACACTGAACTAACTAAAATAATCGATTTTATGTTCAGCATAGTCAATCTAAAGAAAAAAACTATTTAAGCTTGAACCTGAATTAATTTTGAAGTAAAGTTTAGAGAATAGTTGGTATACATGAAGTCATTCCTGATTATCTTTAGATTGGTTATAATGACAGCTAATAATTAGTGAGTGCCTACTTTGGGCAAGGTGCTATACTAAGTACTTTATACGCACTCTGGCTGTCAATCATAAACAGCAATACCATGCTACAATAAAATATTACCGCCATTTTACAGATGGGGAAACTAAAGAAAGCCCCAAGAAAGGCAAAGCTCACTTTCTTCAAGAAGCCTTCCCTGACTGCTAATTTCATGGAGTCTATTCTGTTGCCCAAAATAGCCTGCAATTTCATACATACCAAAAAGTCATTTTTACTTCTTCCTTTCCTTCACAGTAAGTGTCTTAAACATAGCTGATATCCACCAAGCATTTGTTGAGTGAATGATTGGATGCATGATGAATGGATAAATCAGGGGGGAAAAGTCTCATTGACAGGGAGTGAATGAGTGTCTGGGGAATTAGAATTTAGCTGTGATGTTTGATTTGACCACCAGGTGTCAGAAGTATACCAACATTCAAGTATCTTGATAGTTAACACATAATTTGTTTTAAAATTTAATTAAGGGAGAACCCATACAAAAGGAGAGAAGTATCAACAATCTCCTGTATAATTACTGGAGAATAACTCTTTAAAGGGTATTTTAAAGAGTTTGAATATTTTTTAAGCCTCCATACTTTCTCATATAGTTCTCTAAGGTTGTTTTCTAAATTTATTACATATTCTTAGAATATTAGAGCTGTTAAAGTTCATCAGGATCTGATCTTGCAACTTTATACAGATGAGAAAACAAAGGCCAAAAAACAGGGGAATTAAATTTTCCAAATTCACATAGAAAATTACTGGCAAAACCACAGAGCAATTTTTATTTTTCCAAGAAACTGTAATATGAAAACCATATTTTTGCAATTATATAATAATAATACAAACTTTCAGAAATAAACCTATGCCAGATTTTGAATACTAACCTTGACAGTGAACTGTTACAATAAGAAGGATTAGTTCTTTCCAAATATTCCAGGAAAATACAGTGTTTTTAAAAACAGAATGAATATGCCTAGTCCCTAAAGATAAGATTGTGCAAAATCTGCTTAAAAGTCATAGATTAGGTTGTTTCTAAACCTTCATTATTTTTTCACACAAGGAATAGAGTTAGTTTCACATTAGAAAATAGAGATAAGTAAAAACAAACCAAATATGTATCACCAATATTTCCATTGCTAACATTTTGGTGGATAACACTCTACTTTCTTTTTAAGCTAATAGATCTATAAATAAAAGCATGTGTAGATATTTTAACTAAACTTGACTCATATTCACATACATTTTATAATCAGTTTGTATTTTATCATAATTATGAATATAGTATCCTGTCAATAGGTATCTAAATAATCATTTTAATTCATCCTTAGAATTCTACCAGCATTGTATATCATAATTTATTTTTCTAGTGCACATTGAGCTTCATAGTCATTTTTTTCACTCTTAGAAAAAATGCCTTGAAAAACATTCTTCAATGCACATTTGAGGAACTAATTTCCTTTCAGTGAGCTCTTTAAAGTGAAATTTCTCAGCTTTTGATGTATAATATCATCAGGAAGGCATCCTATATGAAATTCCAAAGTTGATACTCTCCCCCATAACACCACAATGTCAGGTCTATTGGTTTTCCAAATATGACAAGTTCTTTTTAGCTGAAGGAAGAAGTATTCTGACTCATTCTTTAAGGTCTACCTCAAAGCAACTTCCTCTACCTAGACACAAATAAATCCAAACAAAATTTATTATTCCCACCTCAATACAATGGTTCTCCAACTTGAGCATGCTTTAGAAACATTTGGACGGCTATCTCTCCTAGAGTTTCTGATTTCGTAGGTCAAGGTTAAGGCCCAAGAAATCATACTTCTAAGAGTCCCATGTGATCCAGGGACCATATGTTGAAAACCACTTCCCTAAAGCACTGTTTAGACCAGCAAGGATTGTGTGTTATCTGAGAAACCATGTATTATCTCCTAACAAATACTGTGAATTATTTAATTAATGCTATAGACTGAATGTTTGAATTTTTATGCTCCCCTCAAATTCTTGTGTTGAAACATAATTCCACTGCGATGGTATTTTGAGTTAGAGTCTTTGGGAGGTGATTAGGTCATCAGGGGATTAGTGTTTTTCTAAAAATCAGACCACAGAAAGCTCCCTTGCTCCTTCCACCAGTGAACAGAGCACTGTCTATGAGCCAGGAAGTAGATTTTTACCAGACACTAAATTTCATGGCATATTTATCTTAGACTTAGCCTTCAGAACTGTGAGAAATAAATTTTATTAAAACAACTCAGTCTATAGTATTTTTGTTATAGCAGACCAAATAGACTAAGACAACTAACATATTCTTTCCAACTTGAATGAGGAAACTCACACAAAAAGTTTGTAACCTAATTTTTGTAACTGTACAGTACAATCTGGTCTATTTATCTTCATTCCATTATTTATCCTGTGTCGACCATGTGGAAAAAAATGATAATAAAAGAAAACAAAAATAAAGACAAAAATATTCCATTGTGTTTAGATTTTAGGAAAAAATAAGGATTTCTTTTTTTAAAATCTGCAGTTCTTGTAATGCTATAATAAAAAGTTGGACTTTTAATACTTTTTTCTACCACAATTGACCTTTGAGAAAAACCTAATAAACTTATCTGAAACATTCATATTCAACTGATTCAATAAGGGAAGTATAAGTGTACTAAATCACAATAAAAATACAGTAAAATAATTCATAATGAAAAATATATAAATAAAATATACATAAATATTGTTATTAACTTTCAGAATAACCACCGATTTATGGATTATATAAACCATGTTTCTAAAATATATTTTATAGAAAAGTAAACTATGTCATCTCAGAATTTCAATGTTCTCCTTTGTTGTGAAAAATAAAGATACTTAAGTTTAATCCAAGCAAAAAAAAACATTTGTTTTAAGATTTTTCATCAGTTTTTTAAAAATCGAATTTATTGGAGTGACACTAGTTCGAAAAACCATATGGGTTTCAAGTGTATAACTCAATAAAACAGCATCTGCACACCGCATCGTGTACCCATGAGCCCAAGCAAAGTTTCATTCTGTCCTCACTTACTCCCTCTTTGCCCACTTCCTTTTATCCCCCATAGCCTTTCCCTCTGGCTATCACCATGCTTTTGTTTGTGTGTATGTGTTACATATATGAGATCATATGGTATTGTCTCTCTCTGACTTGCTTATTTTGCTTAGCATAATATTCTGGAGGTCCATCCATACCGTTGGAAAAGGTAAGAGTTCCTTCCTTTTTACAGCCACATAGAATCCCACTGGTGGACATTGGTGGACACTAGGGCTGCTTCCAAATTTTGGCTATTGTATATAATGCTGCTGTGAACATAAAGGTGCATATGTTTTTTTCTGATTAGTGTTTCCGGATTTTTACAATATATTGCCATAAGTGGGATTGCTAAATATATTTGCAAATGATACATCTGATAAAGGTTTAATTTACAAAATACATAAACAACTTACACAACTCAACATCAGGAAGACAAACTATCCAACTGAAAGATGGGCAGTCTGAAAAGACACTTCTCCAAACAGGACATACAGATGGCCAATAGACATGAAAAAATGCTGAACATCACCAGCCATCAGAGAGATGAAAAATAAAAACATAATGAGATGTCACCTCACACCTGTCAAATTGGCTATTATCAAAAAATCAACAAACAACAAAAGCTAGTAAGATGTGGAAAAAGATGACCATTTTTATTTTTTGAGGAAATTCAATAATGTTTTCCACAGTGGATGCATCAGTCTGTATTCCCACCAACAGTGCAGGAGCAAAATAAGCCAGAGAGAGACAATACCATATGATCTCACTCATATGTGGAATCTAATGAACACGATAACCTTATAAACAAAATAAAACCAGAGGCATGGATCCAGGTTCCCACTACATCCCAGGAACAGCCAGCTCCCATAACCCATGGAGCATCCTATGACCCAGGTTCTCAATAAGTCCCCCCAAAACCCATTTGGTACTGGACTGATCCCTACACTCAGATACTGAGGCCACCCCACTGGGCCCTAGCAATAATTGATTCCATTGTATCCAGGATCCAGGATCCAGGATTACCTGCATAGATGCTGGGCTGAAGCCTATCACTACAGACTGGAGAGCCAAGCCCTTCCCCCAGACCCAGTCACAAGACTTGTTCCCATGTATCCATACAACAAGCCTAACTACTTGCAGACCCAATAACAAGAATCGCATCCTCAAAAACACCAGTAGCTGTGCCACCCACGGACACCATCAGACAGCCCACTATTATCTCTGGATGTGCCAGTTGGTAAAAAAATTTATCTCCCAAAGCCAATCTATGAAGAATGAACAAGGTGCCTACATCCTCAAAGATCATGAATAATCAATGAAATATAACTGCACAAAAAGAAACTAATTAAAACATCAATGACTTCCCCTAAGGAAATGGAAATCTATGAAGTAAGTGCCTACTCATAAAAAAGAATTCAGAATAATCCTCTTAGAGAAATTTAGTGAACTACAAAAGAACACAGAGAAAACACTAAATGAAACTTTAAAAAATACTTTGGCCCATAGAAATTAAAGTAAAAAATTTAAAAATGAAACAGAAATACAAGATTTGAAGAATTTACCAAACTGAAGAATTCAATAGGGAGCTTCAACATCAGGCATAACCAATCAGAATAAAGAATTGTAAATTATACATAAGAAACAACAGTTGAAATCATCCTGAGAAGGAAGCAAAAATAAATAAAAAGAGTAAAAAATGCCTATGTGAATTATGTGATATCATTAAAAGAAACAGTCTATGCATAAGTTGTCATCACAGAAGGGGAAGAAGGAGAATTGTTTTTCTGCTCTTTTGCAGAAGGCTTATTTAAAGAAATGATGGCTGAGAATTTCACATATGTGAGAAGAAATTTGAAAATTGAGTTCAAGAAGCTAATAGGTCACCCTAAAATTTGAACCCCAAAAGATCTCTTCCGAGAAATATTATACTAATGCAGTATAAATCAAACACAAATAAAAATTCTAAAACAGTACAAAAATAAAATTCTTTTATATAACAAAACCCTTTTAAGAAAGAAACCATGCTGGAATATAAAACCGCCAATTAAGAAAACATTGCCTGGCAAAATTGTCTTATAGAAATTAAGGGGAGTTAAGACTTTCCAAAACAAGCAAAACCTGAGAGAGTTCATCACCACTAGAACTTTCTTATAGGAAATCCTGAAAGTAATTCTTCAAGCTGAAATAAAACTATAACTAAGAACAAAACATGAAATTATAATACATACTGGTAAAGGTAAGTAAACAGTCAAATTCACAATACTCCAGTACTATAGTATGATATTGTGTTAATCACTTAACTACAGTATAAGTTTTAAAAACAAAAGTATTACAAATAAGTGTAAATAAAATAATTTGTTAATGGATATATGATATAAAAAGTGGTAAATTATGATAACAAACAATAAATATGTGATAAGGGAGTAATAGAATATGGTTTTTTGTACACAATCTAAGTTTAGTTATTATCAGCCCAAAACAGACTGTTACATCTATAAGATGTTGTATGTAAGCCTCATGATAACCACAAAGCAAAAATGTACAGCAAATATACAAAAAGTAAAAAGAAAGAAATCAAAACATACCACTATTGCAAATCACTAATTTACAAAGGACAAAAGAAAAAAAGGAAGAAAGAGACAAAGTAACTAGACCACAGCAACAATTAACATAGGATTTATAATTCCATGCCTATCGATAATCTCTATAAATATAAATGCATTAAATTATCTTACCAAAAAGCATAGGCTTGTTCAAGAGATTAAGAAACAATACCCAACTATATGCTGCCTAAAGGAAATTCACCTCAGATGTAAGAACACACATAGGCACAAAGTGAAAAAAGAGAAAAAGATATTGCATGCAAATGGAAAACAAGAAAAAGCAGGGATAGCTATACCTGTATCAGACAAAACAGACTTTAAGTAAAATATATATATAAAGAGACAAAGAGGGTCATTATTCAAGATTTAACAATTGTAAATACACAAGCACCATATGTTGAAAAGACTACCTTTCAGTTAATGGGTATTCTTGGTCTCTTCTCAAACAGTAGGTTACTGTGACTTCCAGCCAAGATGGAGGCATAGGTAGACATGCTTCACCTCCTCCCATAACCTTAAGAAGGATAACAACCAATCTAGAAAGAAAAAATAATCAGAACTTCCAGAAAATTTAACTGTACGGAAATCTGACAACCAAGGATTTAAAGAAAAATCATTCATCCAGGCTGGTAAGAGAGGTGGAGATAGGCAGCCAGGGCAGAGAGAATTCAGTACGTCATGGCAAGGCAGTGGTGACAGTGGCTGGTGAGAAAGATGGCCCCACATTCACGTGAGGCAGATAAGAAAAAGGAGGGACAGCAAAGGAGTAATTGATCCTAGCCCCAGGCCAGACCACACAGTCTAAGTTTGTGGCACCAGTAAATAAAGCCTCATAACTTCTGGCTATAAAGAACAGTGGGGGTTGGGGTGGCAGAAGAAATTGCCACTCTCCCAGGAGAGTCTGTTTAAAGGCCCACAGGGTCCTAGAACATACACAAAACATTCACTTGGGGAGTCAGCACCAGGGCAGCAGCTAGAAGGGCACCAATCACTTAAAGGAATTGGGGGAAGTGATTGGAAATGAGGCGAGAGCCAAGCAAGTGGCATTGTTTTCTCTTTGACTTATGCCCCACAGACAGTGCCATAAAGCAGCAAAGCAGGTTGCCTTGCCCTGTCAAATAACTAAGGCTCTGTCCCTTACAATGTAACAAGTGCACCAACACAGGGAGTCAAAGCAGTTCTACATAATATGTAGAAACACAAGGAGGCTGCCAAATTGAGGAGACAAAAATATATGGCCTAAATGAAAGAACAGAACAAAACACCAGAAAAAGAGCTAAGTGACATGGAGATAGCCAACCTGTCAGATGCAGAGTTCAAAACACTGGTGATCAGGATGATCAGAGAAATGACTAAGTACAGCCACAAAATAAAGGAAGAAGTGAAGGCTACACAAAGTGAAATAAAGAGAAATACATATAGAACCAACAATGAACAGAAAGAAGCCAGGTTCAAATCAATTATTTAGAACAAAAAGAAGAAATAAACATTCCCCTGGAACAGAAAGAAGAAGCTTAGGAATCTCTGGGACAAGTTTAAGAACTCCAATATGTAAACCATATGGGTGTCAGAGAGAGAAGAGGAAGAGCAAGAAATTGAAAACTTATTTGAAAAAATAATGAAAGAAAACTTCCTTAATTTGGTGAAGGAAATAGATATACAAGTCCAGGATGCTCAGAGAGTCTCAAAGGAGTTAAACCCAAAGAGGGCAACACCAAGATACATCATAATTAAAAAGCTGAAGTTTAAAGATAAGGAGAGAATCTTAAAAGCATCAAGAGAAAAGCAGAGAGTTACCTACAGAGGAGTTCCCATAAGATTGTCAGCTGATTTCTCAAGAAAAACCTTGCAGGCAAGAAATACTGAAAGTGATGAAAAGCAAGGACCTACATCTAAGATCACTCTACCCAGAAAAACTATCATTTAGAATGAAAGGGCAGATAAAGTGCTTCCCAGATAAGGTCAAATTAAAGGAGTCCATCATCATCAAGCCCTTATTCTATGAAATGTGAAAGAAACTTATCTAGGAAAAAGAAAATAATACAAATATGAACGTTAAAATGGCAATATATTGACAACTATCAACAGTTGAATCTAAAAAACAAACTAAGTAAGCAAGTAGAACAGGAACAGAATCAGAAATGGAGATCACAAGGAAGGTTATCAGTACAGGGGAGAGGGGAGAATGGGGCAAAATGTACAGAGAATAAGAAGCATAAATGCTAGGTACAAAATAGACAGGGGGAGGTTAAGAGTAGTATATGAAATAGAAAAGCCGAAGAACTTATACGTACAACCCATTGAGCTAAGGGTGGGGATTGCTGGAGAGAATAGGGGTACCAGTCAGGAAGAGGCAAAGGGGAAAAATGGGTCAACTGTAATACCATAATCAATAAAATATACTTAACAAAAATATTAGGTGCCTGTAAATACATAGAATTATTACTTGGCTCTTGATTTAGTCCATTGGTCTATGTATCAGTTTTTACACCAGTACCATATTGCTTGATTAATATTGCATGGAAATATTGTGTTTTTGTTTGTTTTTTAGTCTTTTATTTTTGTTCAATTACAGTTGTCCCCATTTTCCCCCATTAGTCTCCCCTGCCTCACCCACTCCACCTTCCACATTCAACCCTACCCTCATTGCCTTTGTCCATGGGTGCTTTTTACATGTTCCTTAACTTGACTCTTCTCCTTCTTTCTGCATTGTCCCTTTCCCCCTCCCCTCTGCTCACTGTCACTTTGTTCTTTATTTCCATGTTTTAAATCAGAAAGTTTCCATGCCTCCAGGTTTGTTCTTCTTTCATAGGATTGCTTTAGCTGTTTGGAGTCTTTTGTTCTCTATGAATTTTCAATATTTTTTGTATTTCTGTGAAAAATGCATTTGGAATTTTGATAGAGATTGCATTGAATATATAGATAATTTTGGTAATTATAAACATTATAATAAACCTAATAATATTAACTCTTTTAATTTATGAACATCAGATCTTTTCATGTGTTTGTGTTTTCTTCACTTTCATCAAAATCTCATAGTGTTGGTACATAGATCTTTCACCTCCTTGGTTAAATTTATTCCTGTTTTTAATATTTTTGCTAATGTAAATGAGATTATTTTCTTTATTTCTATTTCAGATATATTTTCTTTATTTCTATTTCAGATAATTTATTGCAAGTGTATAGAATCACAATATTTTGTTTGCCCATCTGTATTGTACAACTTTAGTAACTGTTTTGATTAATTCTAACAGTTTATTGGTGAAATCTTTAGGATATTCTCTATATAAGATTATGTCATATGCAAACGGAGAAAATTTCCCACTTATATTCCTACTTGTATGCCTCTTATTTCTTTTTCTTGCTTTATTGCTCTGGGCAAGGACATCTGCACTATAAAGAATAGGAGTTGTGAGAGCGTCCACTCTTGTCTTGTTCATGATCTTAGAGACAAAACTTTGCATCTTTCACCATCGACTATGATTTTAGCTATGGGCTTGTTATATATCTGAGATACATTCTACATATTGAAGTATATTCTAGCATGTATTCTTGTACATATAAACAGTCTTATTCTGACATTTATGTGGAAAAAAACAAAGGAGCGAAAACAATTATGAAAAACAAAACTGAATTTGGAACAATCATGTTACCTAATTTTAAGACTTACCATATGGTGAAAATAATCAAGACTATGTAGTATTGGTAGAGGATGAGATATATAGATTAAGGAAACAATAGAAAATTAAGAAATAGATCCACACTGATATTTTTACAAAGCAGACTGATATTTTTATAAAGATTCAAAATTCCATAAAGAAAGAATAGTTTGTCAACAAATGATGTTGGTACAATTGGAATCCTTCTATAACCAAAAATAAAGTCATATTGAGCTAAACCTCATATCCTATATAAAAATTAACTCAAAATTGACCTTATGTCCAATGTAAAATCTATAAAACTTTTAGATGAAACATGGAAGGTCTTCAGGATTTAGGACTTGGTAAAATGTTCTTAGATATGCCACCAAAAGAATGACCCCCAAAAATAAACAAAATCAACATGTTGACCTTCATTAAAAATTAAAACCTTGTTTTATAGAAGACCTTCTTAAGAGAATAAAAATACCAACCACAGACTTAGAGAAAATTCTTGCAAGCCACATATCCAAAAAGGACTTTCATTTATATAAAAAACTTTCAAAAGTCAACTGTAAGAAAACAAAGAACCCAATTTAAAAATTGGCAAAGGATCACTTCTCAGCCTTTTGGCTAAGATCAAGTGTAAAAATTGGCAAAGGACATAGATAATTCACTGATGAGCATATTAAAATATATTCAACATCACCAGCTTATAGAAAAATGTGATTTGAAACTACAGTGAAATACCACACATACATATTAGAATGTATATCATTAACAAATACTGAGAATAAGTGCTGACTAGAATTAACAACTGGATCTCTCATGATTGTTGTTAGGAATGGTAAATGGTACAACTACTCTGAAAATTGCTTTGGCAGTTTTTATATAAAAGTAAATATCCACTTACTGTATAAGCTAGATAGTCCACTCTGGTAGCTACTAAAGAGAAATCAAAGCATGACTTTTCACACAAAAACTTGTACATTAATTTTCATAGCAACATTATTTTTAATATCCTAAAGATGGAAAAATATCCTTCAGTGGGTAAATAAATTTTAAAAACTGTGGTACATCTGGAAAATGGAGTAGCACTCAGCAATAAAAATGAACCAACTATTGACATGCACAATGACTTACACAGGTCTCAAGAACATTATACTAATTTTAATAAGCCAATCTGAAAAGGTAACATTTATGTAATATCCTCAAAATAACAGAATTATAGAGATGGAAAACAACATATCAGTAATTGCCAGAGTGTTAGGGATGGGAGGAATTGTAAAGTAAAGATGTAGCACAAAGGTATTTTATTGTTGTTGTGGGTCATGGGCTCTAATTTTGAATGTTGATTTTGGTGGTGGTTACACAAATATATACATGTTATAAAATGTCATTGAATTATACATACAGACAAATTAGTGCATGTAAAAATTGTCGGAACCTAAATAAAATCTGTAGTTTACTTAGTATTATTTCAATGTCAGTTTTGTGCTTTTGATAATGTACTATAGTTTCAAAGGATCTTATCATTAGGGAAAGCTGGATAAAGGGTAAACACAGATGCTCTATACTATTTTTATAACTTCTTATGAATATAAAAATATTTCAGAACAAAAAGTTTTTTTAAAAGACTTCCTCTTGAAATGTGCTGAAATATAATTGGCTAGCTGCATGAGGAAACTGATTAAAAAAAGAACTCATTTTTTCATATATAGCATGCTTTGATGAAAATCATCTTATGACTTACCAGATTTGAACTTTCCAGGCTATTCATTCTCATGAATGTTGATTCACAATTAAGAAATAGGTTTCTGCTTGGTTTTGTTTGACATACAAATTGCTCTCTGGCTTTGGCAAACACAATTAAAAATCCTTCAGAAGCCTCTGGGGGGGTGGGTAAAAAAAAGTGCTTATTCTGCAGCCATTGAACTGAATCTTCCATCAGAGCCAACTCTCAGGCAAGACATTCAGGAAATTTGATGGTAAATCCGAACCAACCCTACAGCCTGCAGAGATGCAGCCACATTGCTCTAGTCTAAAGCCAGAAAAGTTAACCCCATGATTGGCACTGCTCACTCTTTGGGCTGTTCATAGTTACGTTCATAAGTTGTTGGCTAGGTATGGAACATATGCATTTTACACTTCTGGTTAATAAGTAGTCATGGTGTATGAAGTCAGCAAACTTCCCTTTCCATTACCCTTTATTGTCTTCCCTTTCCTCCCATTGTCCTCTTCTCAATAACCTAGTACCTTCTGAAGTGCCAGCCTTCCTTGCTTACAAAAATCTAGCAGCTGGCTGATAAATCAAACTCAGAAACTCATTTGCTGAATTGTTTGTAGCTTAGCCTTTACCACTCCCAGGAACATTTATAGTTCAAAAGATAGGAGGTTAGAGAAAGAGTAAATAATTTCTAGTAATACGTTACTAGTACTTTCACTTCTGGTTGGAGGCAGACACACAGTTAAATCTAGGAGACATATAGGTTGGGGATGCCTTCTCCTAGTCTTAAAATAAAATGCTAAACTGTGGCTAATTTGTAAATCTGATTCTAGTAGTATGTTATCATTTACTACCCTCCTAAATTATATACAAGTATTATTTCCCAATCTTAAGCAATAATTTTGGCCAATTGGAAAACTGTCTCAAGCTGTAGTGAATAATTTCTCAGTCATGTAGGACACTCACATTCACAGCTGCAGTAAGCAATACTTCAGTAAAGTCAGCTAACAGCAAACCCTCTGTTCCCCTAGGACACTAACAATTTAGTAAATACCAAGTCCCTACTAAGAATGAGCTTTAGATTAACCTTTGGTATTAGAGATACAGAGATGATCAATTTCCTCCCTCTTCCAACCCAGCCTCAGAAGCTGGTTAAATAATCAGTTAACTCAAGTTAACTCGCTAGGTAATTGAGGGAAGGGGAGCAGATTGGGGTGAAAAAACTCAATCCAGAGTTTCCAAGTCTGCTGAGGAGGTCCTGTCTTCATATTCCTGCCAAAACACAATTTCAGGGGAAGATCAGTCCAAGGAAAACTGCTGACCTCAGCTCTTCTGGAGGTTCCCAAAGTCCTGCAGCTGCCTTGCCTGCCTGGGTTTCATACACTGTACCAAGTCTCAACCACTTCGGAACTGTTTCGTTGGAGGAAAAGCCCCACCTATACTTGTGGTCAAAAAGATTAAGCAGAGCTGCTTTCAATATCCAACATTATGCTGCCACTTGGCAACCATAATATGCACTTAGTGCCATCCTGTGAGTCATGCTCATGTAGAATACAGCTGTTAGTTACATTTTGTTTCTGGAAAATAAATCCAGTAGTAAAATAAAGTCTTTATCCTTATATTTCACTGTAAAAATCATTATTGAGTCAACTTTACTAAAAGAGAATTTAGTATCTCCAACTGTTTAATCTGGAGGAATTCAATATATACAAAATATGCTGAAGATATGAATATGAATAGATCTCACTGATATCTTGAATGACTTGCACTAACTTCTCTAGGATGTACATAATTTTTACACTTCTAAATAATCTTACATATTTAATAATAAAACTCCAAGTGTGAAACTACCAGACTTTTTTTAAAAAGGCAGCACCTATTTTATCATTTCAAGTAAGGAAAATGGAGGAAATTCCTTCTAACAAAGACAGCATACATTTGGATCTACTTCTTAAAATATTTCCCATGTTGTCAAATTAAAAATACATCCAAAGAAATGTTTATCATAAATTGAGAATCTGCCCCTCTGAGATTTGACAGCTGTGCTAGATTCTTGGGCTTGATAAAATCCTTTTGTGCTATTTCAAGCTCTCAAGTCCCACCCCAGAATGCATGCATGGAAAATGTCCCAATCAAAA